ACCTGCAACATACCAGTTGAAAACCTGCAACTTCCTAAGTTCAATTCCACTCTGTGGCCTATCCAAAACTCACCCGAGCCCTCGGGGCTCCAAACCAAACATGCACGCAAGTCCAAAAACATCATACGGACTTGCTCGTGCGATCAAATCATCAAAATAACATCAATAACTATGAATTAAGCCTCAAATTCATGAAATCACTTAAGAACATCAAATTTTCCAATTTTCTCAAATAAGGTCCGATTCATGTCATTTCAAGTCCGTTACTTACCAAATTTTACAGGCTCAACTTAAATCACATATAAGGCCTGTACCGGGCTCCGAAACTAAAATACGGGCCCGATACCATCACATTCATTTACATTCAAATTTCCAAAAACTCTAGAAATTTCAGTTAAACAATTTTTTTCAAAAATTCATTTCTCGGGTTTGGGACCTCGGAATTCGATTCCGGGCATACGCCCAAGTCCCATATTTTCCTACGGACCCTCCAGGACCGTCAAATCACAGGTTCGGGTCCGGGCCCGTTTACCCAAAATATTGACCAAAGTCAACCTAAATTCATTTTAAAAGCAAAATTTATTATTTTCACAGATTTTCACATAATGGCTTTTCGGATACACGTCCGGACTGTGCAAGCAAATAGAGGTGAGGCAAAAAGGAGGTTTTAAGGCCTCGGAACACAGAATTTACTTCTAAAACAAGTGATGACCTTTTGGTCATCACACAAACACTTCTATAATAGCACAAACATATGAGTGGCTCCATCAATCCATCACTCCTTGGGATTTACTACCAAGTTTAAAAAGCATAGCACACAAGTCATCAATCTCCTTGTTCTTTTCAACCAATTGCTTGATCCTTTTTTCTTGTTCTTCTATGGAGCACAACAATCTACAGACTTGTATCCAGCTTTTTCGTAGTTGTAGCAATTTTCTTTGAATCTCTTCTTGCTCGGGTTATTTTTTGGTCCAAAAGGCTTCTTCCTTTTTTATTATCTTGTGAAGCATCTTCAACAATATTTTCTCCCATGATTGTTGAGTTTTCACGAACCTTCTTTTATGCAGCTTTGTTGTCCTCTTCGATCCACTACCGAACAATGAAATCTTCGAGCAATATCTTCTTGTGTTTGTATTTCTCAAGTAAGTTTTGAAGTCCTTTGATAGAGGAGGGAACTTCTCAATCATTGTCGCAACTTGAAACACTTCATTTATGGCCAAGCCTTAAACAAAAAATATATAAGCAATAATATAATCAATACTTTCAATAAAAGTATTTATTCAGGTTATACCTTCAGTAAGGAGATCACAGATAATCGTTTGTAATTGTTGGACTTAGATAATAAAAGACTTGCTATATATCATTTTATAGTCCAGAAATTTGCTGTTACAAACTTCTTCAACCCGACATCTTCAGTTTTATATGGCTTTTCAAGCGCAGTCACAGTTCTCTTGACGTCTCCACATTACTATAGATGCTATACAAACCATCTTCCATTCCCTAAGAATATAATTCCTGCATAAAAGATCAGAGTGCTTCCAAGCATCAGTTACAAGTAGACGTTCATTATTGCGTCTTCCTTCTTGCAAAATTGTGACGTCTTTCTTAATAAACCTCTGTAGGATTAGGGTAGTCAAATAGAAAACTATCTTTTGCTTCCAGCACTTGAAATTAATGCCAATTTTTTTTGGGCTTTTGTACGGGTGCCAATGCCAGTGCAGGTATTGCTCGGCTTGTCGACGTATTGGCAGTCACCATAGGAACATACTGATTTTTGTTCTCATTTGTCATTTCTGTAAAACAAACGAACAAGAATGAATTTAATATATGGTGAGGTTTTTATATCTTCAAATCGAATAAATCTGGAGTAGAAAATTACGTAAATTTTAGTCTCCAACAAAGTACAAAATTATTAGAATTTTAATCTTCAAAGAAAAGATAATAACCAAAACAGAATAATGTTAAAACTTAAAAGACGGAGTAAACAGTTACGAAGGTTTTAATCTCCAAAACTCTGAGTAGAAAACCTCACAGATTTTAGTCTCCAAACATGAAGTAGAAAACCACAAAGGTTTTAGTCTCCAGAACAGTATATAAGACAGGAATACAAAATATAAAAATTAAGTTCGTTAAGCTTGTTATATTTCTGTATTTGTAACCCAATATTCTGAAAACTTAAACAATGAAAGAACAAAAATGGAGAGGAAATAAAATTATATCCGAACTCACTGAATACACAGTGTTTCCTTAAGGAACTTAATTCCCTCCTAGTACCCAAGGTTTAGGATTATTTTCTCCTATGATAAAACATGACAACCTCACTGTTGTAGCAGTACTTCAAACCCCAGTGACCAACGAATTCAAAAATTGGTAACATCAAACTTTGAAGAACTTACTGTTTAATTTGAGAGAATGGCCAGATAGAGAGAGAGGGAGAGAGATATATTCAAACTTTTTTGTACGGAAAATTTGAGAGAATGGCCAGATATTTTATAGCAAAATGCTTGAGTTGAACGAAGAGGTACAACTCGCGTTCAACTCAAAATTTGCAGCCTTTCAGGTGACCTTTCACGAAAATGGCTATTACATAAGCGGCAATTTTTGCAAAAATAAATGAAAAAATAAAATCAGAGGCAACATTAAATTACCGTTGCAAAAATGGTCATTAAATGTTAATAAAATAAAAATATTAACAAATAAATTTGATCTAAAAAATTAATCAATAATTCATATCCGAAGTTGAGCGACGACGCGAGGCTTGCTTCTTCTCAATTCTTTAAGAGCTAAAAGAATTATTTATAAACCTCCAAATATCTTTTCCTCCTCCAATATGGGACAATGTTCTTTTATAAAGGAGGAAAATCTAAAATTTTATTTTTCCCTGCATTTTTCATTCACACCAATTTTGAGCTAAAACCCAATAAAACTAAAAATGCAAATGCAACATAAGTGATATGTAGCAATTCAATATTTTGATATTTGATTTTATTCGGTTATACAGAAAAAAAGCATAAAAGGTGTTAATAATCTTGATTTCTAAGCTCATAAATTCAAATTTATACATAATTAAATGTATCATAAATGGATTGGCAAAAATATTTTAATTCTTCACAACTACGAATAATCCTATTCAATAAAAGGGCAGGAAGCGTAAATTAGAACTAAATACAACGATTGAGATTAATAATGGTCTCTGGACCCAGGGACGAATTTAGGGGAGGGAAGAGGGTTCATCCGAATTCCCTTCGTCAAAAAATTACACTATATATGTAAGATTAAATTTGATATTTAGGGATATATACTAGATATTGCATCCCTTTAATACAAAATTAAAGTTTAGTGGTCAAGGGGTTCAAATATTTTTAAGGGCCCATGTTCGATCCCTAATTCCTGCTAAGGTTACGTTCCTATTGTTTGCCTTCAACTGCGAACTTCGTTCTCTTATATAATTATTAAAATAGTTTTTTTTTTTTAATTATTTTTTGTCTATTACTTATTATACATGATATTTTTTGCCTTTCCCTTTTTGACTAGCATTTTACTCTCTTTTTTTTTTTTTTTTTTTTTTTGTAAAAAAGCTTACTTCAAACATACTGATGTATTAGTTTTAATTCAACATAGCATTAGCCTGAGTTTCGACAACAATTTAATTCTCATATAGTTCTTTTTTATGAACTCGTTTGATATATATTTGGATTCAACAAATTTTGATGAAACTTTTACTTTTGGACCAAAAGAAACATGGACTATCAATGTAAGTCTTAGATTTCAAAATAATGTATTTGTGAAAGAGCTACCAAAGTGGAATTTGGGGAAAAACACGTGGAAGAAAACTGAGAACGGAAGTCAGTAGTAATTTATGTGAGTTTTTAATTAAACAAAAGACAAGTGTAGCATGTGTGAATGTGGGTCACGTTTCACCAACCCTATATGCTAAGATTCCATTGCCCATTTCACCAACTCTTGTCCCAGCAGCCACTTCATTATTTCTATCAACAAAATAATACTTATTATATATAGGAAAATACAAAAAGAAGACTAGGAGACAAAATCTGTTTACTTGGGATTATTTTAACGTTCCATTTAACGAAAAATTGCTTTCTTAATCACAGTTAGTGCTTGTTCTAATACAAAAAAGAGAAAATTTTACTAGCAAATTATTATTTCTAAGAAAGCACTCCAGTTATTTGAGTAGTTTATTATTGCACGTGTTTATATATTGGACGAGGTTAAAGTTTTTAAAAATTTACTATCAAAAGTATTTTTTTTTTCTTTGTCTTATCAAAATTATCTTTAACAATGTAAAGTGAAACAAAATCCTTAGCCCGTGAGACTAAACAAAGAAAAGAACAACTTTCATACAAGTAGATAAACATTGTAGGGTCCAATTTTTTTTATTTTTTTATTTTTTTGGTAACAATCGTAGGGTCAACTTATTTAATTTAGAATGTCAATTCAATATCAATCTTTTAATTCTTCCAAAATAGTACATTTTAAATTACATAGAATAAAATAAAATATCATTATTTTAAAAATATACCCACACACATTTATTTTTAATTTATCTAAAAACAATGAATTTTTATTTTAAAAATAATTTAATTTTAAGTTTTTATTTATTTATTTTACTTTAATTAGATAATGTAGAAGTGGTTCAATAAATGGGCGAGAGGAAATACTTTTTGCTTAATTCCAAAAACGGATTTTTTTTTGTTGTTGCAAATAATGCATAGGAAAATACTTAAATACTACTCCATCCGTCTCATATTAACAGTCGTGATTACTAAAAGTAGTTGACTCAAATTATGACTGTCATTTTAAAAGTTTAAGATAAAATTAATTATTTTTTTTTCTTTTTATCCTTAGTAATAATTATTCTTGAAGATGAATAATATATAAATAGAATAAATATTTAATGAAGAGATATTATATTTTAAGATATGAATAAGAATTAAAAAAAAAATATGACTAATAATATGAAACGGAGGGAGTAGTCAAACAAGGTGTGTTTATTTTGGTTGGTTGGAAACTTGAAGCCCTTGGCTTAGCACCTCTGTCATATTTGATTGCAAAAAGCTTCTTTCTCTTCTCCCTTTTGTGAAAAATTCCCATCATCAGCCATGAGCTGCTATTCATCGTCCCTATTCTTCAACAACAACACCCTTTCTCCGGCTTCGACCAATCTCCACCGTTCCTTCAACAATGCTAGATTCGGTCTCAGAATCTCCGCTTCCCTTAACGTGGAAGTGCACGCTCCCAATTCGGGCTCTTCGATGACGAAGAGCAGCAAAGAGGTGATGGAGGAATCTAACAAGGTATTTGTGGGTACTTACGCTAGGGCTCCGTTGGTTCTGTCCAGTGGCAAAGGATGTAAATTATATGATTTAGAAGGGCGAGAGTATTTGGACTTGACTTCTGGTATTGCTGTGAATGCACTTGGACACGGGGATCCTGATTGGATTACTGCTGTTACTCAACAAGCTAATACCCTTACCCATGTTAGCAATATTTACTATTCTCTCCCTCAGGTCACTGCCTCCACTTTTTTGGTCTCGCATTTTTATTTACTTATTAGTAGAACATTTTACTTTGGATTTATTGTCCATGGGGATATAAAAAAGGAATCTTTTTTTGAATTTTCTTTACTGGATTCAAATTTTCCTTTCCATTGTTTTCGGATTCTCGTGTTTTTTTCCTCATTCAAATAAAGAGCTTTACTTGGGAATTTTATAGTGCATAGGGATTAAAAAGAATGAGCCTTTGCAGTTTCTTACTGCTATTTTTGGAATGCAACAGGCTCAAATAGAGTGGAATGGATATAGATGATCATATAGCTGAGCCGACTAGTTTGGGATTGAGGATTAGTAGAGATTTTTGTTGTCTAGGCTTCTTAAATAGCCAGAATGAGGAAAAGGAATATTACCCAATTCATTTTCTAGTTGTTCTTGATATTTTGGTGTGCTTACGCTAGAGTGCAATGAGTTGATTACATACATTCAGTGAGCAGAGATACAGTATATGTGGTTCCGGATTAAAAATAAACACCAGTAACTTATCGTGGATTCATGTCGTGCAACTGAATGATCTGAAATGATAATTGGAACTTACTAGCAGAGGGAAGTTTCTTTTTTTATGGATTTTTTGGAAGGCAGTTGTGAGCGAAGTCTTATTCAGCAGCGCTTTACTATACATCTTTGTTCAAGTTGTTTCTATGTATATATCTTGATATATATCACTTAATTACCTTCTTAACTGTAATTCTGCATTATAATTAATAATTGAGGCTTCAAGGAATCTTTTATCCTCCATTTGCTAAAGGAACTTTGTATTTTACACTAACATATTGTTCTATTATTACTTACAGCTTGAGCTTGCAAAACGTCTTGTTGCTAGTTCTTTTGCAGACCGTGTTTTCTTCTCAAACTCTGGAACAGAAGCAAATGAAGCTGCAATTAAATTTTCAAGGAAGTTTCAACGGTTTTCGCATCCCGATGAGAAGCAACCTCCTCTGGAGTTTATTGCCTTCTCCAATTGCTTCCATGGAAGGACCATGGGTGCTGTTGCTTTGACAAGCAAAGAGCACTACAGGTCACCTTTTGAACCTGTAATGCCAGGAGTTACCTTCCTGGAGTATGGCAATATTCAAGCGGCCACAGAGCTAATTCAGAGTGGTAAAATAGCTGCTGTGTTTGTTGAACCAATCCAAGGTGAAGGTGGAATATATAGTGCAACAAAAGAATTCTTACAAGCGCTGCGAACTTCCTGTGATAGTGTTGGTTCGCTTCTTGTCTTTGATGAGGTAAGAAACTTTCGAATTGTATTGCTGCCACTTTAGTCTATGATATGATTATGCCTCATCAGAAAAGCGTATATACACAAACAAATGTTTGATCAATAACACACAGGATGTAAATTAGAATGTCTAATGCATCTTTTTGACAAGACAATTTCTCTGGTATTCATCAGAAATCAAGTATATGAAAAATGTTCAGAATTTTCATGCTGTGTCCACTAGAAAAGTTCAACAGTTTGGACTTAAGGTGTGAGGAGTTTTTGGGTGAACTTGATCCCTAACATTTTCAGCACAGTGGATTGTGCTATGGTCCTTACCGTTAACAGTTTGAGAGGACAATTCCCCACTAACTTATATTCTATGAAGGGAAAGTGGAAACTGTTTTCTCCTTTAAGTCTCCTCTGTTCGATTGTTTAGGAATTTGTTTCTAAGGGTGATAAGAATCATGCAATATGAAATGGGATTTCCAGTTATTGGCTTTAACCAATATTAAATCGATGAAGTTGTGGCTTGTGCTTGTGTTGCAATAAACTGTATTAGATACAGTAGTGTTCTTCAATATCTAGGCTAAAACTTATTATTCCATTTTCTATCTTTAACTTTTTCACCACACTATTCTTGAGAAAAGCCTTTAGAATAAACAGGAGTAATGGCTGATATACTTCTTTTCTTCAGAATACTAAAAGAATTGTCCTTATTTGGGTTCTTCATTCTTAAATTTCAAATTAATATTCAATACTTTCCTGTACTTCCTTGGCTGCTTGGTACTGTTTAAAATCACTTGGGTATCTGTGCAAATGAAGCTTTTTGTTTACCTGATTCAAATTTTATGAGTTGTGGAAGGTACTAGTTAACAATGTTTCACTAATGAATAGTGATTCCTAATTGCTTCATCTGAAAGAAGACTTGCTATTCTTATTTCTTTATGTATGTTGTGAACATTAAGATTCAGTACACAATTTGAGAAAGTCAGATAATTCGTGAGTCAAGTCGTCAATATTAGAGAGCTTCTACCATAAGCTGGTATATGAGAATAAGGTTTTATATGTTCATTACGTAAGATTTTTTAACATTGAATTGTATAGATAAATGATTCAATGAAAAATATGAGTGCATCTTACTTATCCCAAAAAGAAGGAAGTACAAGTGCTGTCTACAATCACAAAAAGTGCTGCCTACCTATAACAAGAAGTGATATGATGCCTTCATTCAAACTTTATGTTGGTAATTAATTTTTGACGGAATGTGTCAACACTCTGCTGAAGCTTCTATGTGTATCTTGTGTTATTAGGTTCAATGTGGCCTAGGACGAACTGGTCATCTTTGGGCACATGAAGCTTATGGCATATACCCAGATATTATGACTCTTGCAAAGCCACTTGCGGGAGGTCTACCTATTGGGGCGGTGTTAGTGACTGAAAGAGTTGCTGCTGCCATAAATTATGGAGATCATGGTAGCACCTTTGCTGGTGGTCCTCTTGTTTGCAATGCTGCAGTTGCTGTGCTGAACAAGATTGCCGAACCAAGTTTCCTTGCCAGTGTCACCAAGAAAGGTCAATATTTCAGGGAATTGCTTGTTAAGAAATTAGGAGGAAACTCACATGTGAAAGAAGTACGAGGCGTGGGGCTTATTATCGGGATAGACCTTGATGTACCAGCATCTCCACTGGTTGATGCATGTCAACAATCTGGCCTTCTTGTATTAACGGCTGGAAAAGGAAATGTTGTGAGGCTTGTACCACCATTGACCATCACAGAGCAAGAATTGGACCATGCAGCTGAGATCTTATTCAATTGTTTGCCTGTGCTAGATAAGACCAACAAGAAGTAGGGTTGAATGACGGGTTTTCTTGCACGTTCACCTTTATGTGTAGCTTCACAGGACTGTATGCATTGCTGATGTAGATCACTTTCATGAGTGCAATGTTAAAGGTATCATCTTCCGTGAAGTTCATGTTGTACCTGATTGTGTCCTGTCAGTGAGGCTGAAGATTCATTTAGGAGGAATCTTATTTAGACTTTTCATGTAGAAGTGAGAATCAGTTTGAGTTTTAGATGTATTTTCAAATTTCCACCAGCTGAATCAAGCTGATGGAATGTGTCCATTGTAACAAGATTATATCCATTGAAACTTGTGTATGAATAAACATGATGTCTCAGGCTGCAACCTTCACATAGATGGCGCTCGACTCTCTCTGTGCCATTGCCACTCTCTCAGTATCTCCTGAAGTATGAAACTAGCTCTGTTACTCATCAATATTTCACCATTCAACTGTCTCACCAGCATTCTGAGTCTGATATCCATTATGCACAAAGCACTCAATACCATCTTCTAGTACAACGTCATTGCTGCTCAGTTCCCAGAATACTGTCTTGGCATAAGAATTTCTACTTCTGCTTTTAGTGGCAAAGCTAACCCAATGTATTTGTTGCACTGACCAACGTGTGCACAGCTGCAGCAGAATTTGTTTGGATAAAGGTATTGCTTTAACTTGGTTTGTTAGGTAGGTCGAAACTTCCCCTCTTTTCTGAAAAAAAACTTTGACAAAAGCTTCTTTTAATTTGCAATTCTTTGCACATATTGCTTCAGTTTTCTCAATATATTTTTCATCTTTTATATGAGGGTTATGTTGGTTCTGATGTGGTATTCTTTTGCCTTTATGGTTTCCTACGTGCTTTTGTGAAAATAAAAATAAATAAAAAAACAGGAGAATTCTTGGTTATCTATATACCGCTATGTAAATTTTCTAACAGCATCTTCAGAATATATAACCGAATAGCAACCAGAAAAATGAGAAAAGAATCACCAAAATGAAGTTTGTTAAAATACTTGATACAGTAAAAATGCATCGCAAATTTCCCCTTTCCATTCACATCACAAAATGGCTTAGTTTACTGAAGCACGGGACCAAGTTTTCCAATTTATCTGCAGAAAATCCTACTGACTTGAACTAATTCATTTCGTCTTTCTTTATTTTCTTTTATTATAAGGACATATGCATATACTTTTCATCTAGCCCGTCTAGCTCAGTTGGTAGAGCGCAAGGCTCTTAACCTTGTGGTCGTGGGTTCGAGCCCCACGGTGGGCGTGTCTTAATTTTTTTTTTCTATCAATGTCGGCTTAGCATTTTTTTAAATTGAAATGCTTATTGCTTCAAATATCCTCTATGCTGGCATTTGAGTTGGTTTTGGCGATACTATTTCTACATTTTCCCTTAGTAGTAATGAAGTGCAGTATTTGATTATACCATTTTCTTGTGGCGCCTGTCATAAACATTTATCTTATAGGTCATTTCACATGTGTTTTAGTTGTCAAAAAAGCTTTGGTTGGTGATTTCACATGACAGCAGAATGGTTACTCGAATCAATTTACAATCTTAAGTTTCCAGACACATCGCACTTCCGCTTGGGTCTGAGGCTTCCACTCCGTTCTAAGACTGGAACAAAGAAGAGTGGAGAATCTCTTATTGGTTTTTGGAATCCGACACCAGGAAGTGTTTTCATACCCATGACCGACATCGACTCATCCTAATCTCTAAAGAAGAGATCGACGATCCCAATTACTTTTACCCTATTCAGAAAGTCTTTTTCGCATGATGACTCGTATGAGGCCCTTGCTCCGTTACTAAGAATAAAATGTTGAGCACATAAATCAATAACACAATGTCCAAACATCACACAATTTTGGTACCCATCAACCCATCCCAATCTTTAAGGAAGAGATCGACAATCCCAAGTTCTTTGACTTTATTTAGAAAGTCTTTTCACCCGGACAACTCGTAGTAGGTGAGAAGGGCCCATCCTCCGTTACCAAAAATAAAAGTTGAGCACAGAAATCAATAGCACAACGTCTAAACATAACACAATTTTTATTAAACTGATTCGTGCATATTGTGGCGGAGTCGGGATTTAAAGTTTATGGGTTCTGAATATGCAACCGAACCCCTAGCTCGTTAGTTACTGGGTTCGCAATTAAATATTTATACATATTTAATAAATTTTCTAATACAAATACAATGTCTAGGCAAAAAGCTAATGGGTTCATGGAAGAAAGAAAAAGGAAAAAGGTGTTGCCAGTTGGAACTGAACTAAATTTATCTGCTAACTTGCAACTCTTTTTGACAGGTCTGAGGCTATCCTCTAATAGCTCACACTGTGTACCTTGGAATCTCACTTATAGCATGCTCTGTAATCATCAAGTAAAACTACAGTGTCAACAATGATTTTTACTATATATAAATATCGTATATTTATGAGTGAAGAAGAATTAGAGAATATATACATGCAACGTTCTTGATCTGTTTGAGGGATTTGTTCTTGAGCAGTAGTTTTAGCTGAAGTTATAGGATTTGTGTTCTCAAGACCACTTCTTAAATAGGTTTTTTGATGTCACTAATAGATCTCTCGATGGGAGCTTCATTCTGTGAAGAGGAAATAGCTTCAGTGGATCCAGTTGATTAAAGTCGACCAGTGTTGGCATTTCAAATTGAAATGCTTATTTCTTCTCCATTGTAATTCTTTTTAGATATAGGTATGCAATTCCACTAAATTAATCGATGTGCCCGTCTTTGTTTAAAAGCTCAGAAATAAACTCAGCTCAACTAGTCAAGGGGTTGAGTTGAACGACCGAGTAAAAGAACCAAAACTCAATCACTATACTTCTTCAAAAGAACATAAATTATATTATTCATGATACAAGCAAAATAATTCAACTGTTCGACTTTTGAGTTACTAAATCTTTTGAAGTTAAATAACAAATAAAAGATCCGAGAAAACAATCAAGTTTCCACACAAAGTTCAGGCATAATGTAAATTTGCATTAACTCGATAAATTGCTTGCATGACTCAGTAAGTCATCCAAGTTTTGACTAATATTTGGTGCATATGATTTCAGTAAGGGTGAGAAACTATTTGGAAAGGAAAAATACTGAAGGAAAAGGAGAAGTGTTTGCTGCTTCCACCCCCTCCCCCGGAGCTTCCGACTACTACTGTCACCCAAACTGCACCTTCCAAACCCTCTGTACTACTGACCAGGTAGCAATGAACTACCACCACCACCACCAGCACTGACGAGCACCAGAAAAAACTACCACCATCACTCCTTGATACCCGAAAACAAGCCCCAAAGCTTTAAGAGCTATGAAACACGCCCTTGGCTCAAGAATCGGCCCACGCACTCAGAGGCTGCAAGCAGATCATAAGCTTTCAAAGGGCCCAAAGTAGTGGCAATTCCAGTATTAAGAATGTATAACAATATATTACAATAATCTTCTGGAAATGTGTAACTAGTACACAAACTGTTCATGTACGACTTACAGTTGACATGGATGGACCATTATAAGCCGACATGGGCAGATAAATAGAGTACAATACAATCACATGGATTGACCATGAAAGTGTAACAAACTGAAGATACCAAATAAGATTTACATCTTCACCTGCCATAGACAAAATATGCAAAAATTCATTAGCACATGTAAATATATGCCTATAAAGGGAAGCACAAAGACCTTCAGAGAGTTCAATTCAGCAGTGCCGAACTGTACAATTGCTTAATACAGCAAAAGACTTAATAGAATTTAGAACAGCCTCAATGAAATAAAGTGAAAAATATACTATGCTAGAAGGAAAAATATTTATTAACAGGAAACGTACGATCTTGAACATTGACCAAAGCAACCTCTGTAGTCTGTATTCATAACACATACATAATACCTCTCACAAATATGGCATCGTAATGACTATTGATCAAAATGCACGGCAAGCATGAATAAGAACACAACTCTTCTAGAGGAAAAAGGATCTATCTAAATATGTGCTTAAACAAGAAATACATTACTAGATGCTCCAAGTTCTATACGTCGATGCCTAGATGATTAAGTCTCAAATACATTCTCATCATAAGAAAGAACCATGAGAATTTTTACTATTTTTAGTTTGAGTTACAGTAGGACGAACTACATGAGTAGTTGCACAAGATAGGATAGGTTAAAGGTCGAACATTTGGAATCAGGAGTCCCAACAATAGCATCTTCTTCAAATTACGAGTGGAGATTTGGGGAGAATGGATAGGACAGGGTGGTGGATGACGTAAAGGAAGGGAAGGCCCATCCCGTGCTTTCGAGCGATTCTTCCCGCAAAAGGCAGATCTTTTTCTTTCCGTCCCAAATAGAACAATAGAATAGGGACCTAGTTGTGACCAAGGTGCTTTCAAGCTTAGGGTTAGCAGGTTGATGGCTGGAGAGCTGGTAAAAGAATGAAACCTTCAAGAGATCATAGTTAAAAAGCCAGCTGCGGAAGAACAATCTTCCCTGGCTATATCGATCCTCCATAGTTCAATCAGAATCTAGAACTGCGGAGAGGTTCTAACTAGCTAGCCTAACCAACCGCTACAAGCGGGTAGGAAATAGATATGGTGGAGATTCAAGTCAAGATGATGGATCACAATCACTATACATAGATGCTTTCCCTGGACTGTGTTGGCACCTCGGTCTTCTTTGTCAATGGATAAACTTATCCTACACACAAATTTCATTTCTCTTATAAGCATTAATCTTGCCAGTTCTTATCCATATAAAACAAGTGCACCTTGAATTAAAGACACAAATTTGCTTGGGTTGTTTCTAGTCTCAATAAATGTAACTTCATGAAATAAAATCCAAGACTTCAGAGACTATGTCACTTTCAAATGTAATCAGAAAACCAAGAAAACAGAGTGAAGATACCTCAATATAATATACCCCGCTGTTATTCAGACTTTTGCTGATTCCTTCTCTCTCCAAGTTGCAAGGACCTCATCGGTTCTAAATCGCTGAGTGAATGTTGATTCCTCCATCGGAGTCGATGCACCATTTGCATACTCTAGGAGACCAGTATAAGCAATCATTGCTCCATTGTCAATGCAGTACCTGTCATCAGTTGCAAACAACTTGCCGCCCCTCTCAGAGCACATTATTTGCATCATCTGTTGCAAGCGCTCATTGCATCCTACACCACCAACAATTAGCACATCTTTCTTATCACAATGCGCCATTGCTCGTTCTGTAATCTCTACAAGCATCGCAAACAGAGTTTCCTAAAAGAATTGCAAACAAAAGAAAGGCAATCAAAACGTTTGCTTTTCAGATTTTAGAGTCTGACGCAGCATAAAGAATTGAAGATAAGAAGTCAAAATCTGAAATATTAACCTGCAAAGAGAAACAAAGGTCTGCTGGTGTGCACTCATTATTTTTCAGCTTCTCCTCTGCAGTGGCTTCAATGTAGCTCAGTATTCCACTGAATGATACATCCATTCCCTTTACAACATATGGAAGTTCAATGAACTTTTCCCCTTTCTTTGCAAGCTGATGAGAAGGAAAACAAATATGAGATCTCTGACTAATTCCTCTAAAATTTTGTGCTATCATAATAGACAAAAGCATGAACCGGCTACATTTACAAATACAGATTTAAAAAGTCAGCAGATAATAAATTATGTGAAATAACTTATGAAAGGCGTCAAACATAAGATGGTGTTAACAAGCTCTACTAAAGTGTGTAAAAACTATATCACCCATCACTAGTATTTTGCTTCACCTAAATCACTTTACCCTTCCTTACAAAACTTTAATACTGAGATGTAAAACAATCAAAAATACATGAAAACTACAAGTCTATAACATACAAGGCAAAAAAGATGAGAATTTGAATGACAACTAGTCTCAGTTAATGGTATAAAATAACCCAATGTCTAGTTGTTGGCACCTCGTCGCCCATATTAGCTTTTTAAGTAAAATAATTGGCAAAATACAGTCCCATCCCATAAACCCTACTTCCCAATTTATTCTCTCTCCCCATAACTGCCTCTCTACCTCTCTTAGTCATCTCCTCTCTCACGGTTTAGGGTATAAATTATAGCAAATCAAACACGAAAATCAGTGGGATGAATAATGAATGGATGATCATGTTCCTTTTGCTTTTCGATCCCACCAGAGATTATATATCCTTTGGTTCAGTAATGGGTTTAGAGGTGGGGAGGGTGATGGTGATATAACAGTTGAAGATTATCATTTTGGGGTGAATTAAAGATCGGCAGGGAAAAGGTATTTGGGTTTTTGGCTGATGAGAAGCAATGGTGGCTTTTGTGACTAAAAATGAAAGCTCAGCCAGTGTGAGGCCGTAGAGTGATAGTGGTCGACGGTGTGAGATTCACAAAGAGGTCTCTATTTGGTGATTCTGCGTATATCACCATGTATACATGTGTGTATATCACATTGCATATAGGATTTAGATGTTGCCAATATTTTGGGCTATAGGTGCCAATGCCAATAGTTGGCTAAATGGCTGCCGATTGCTCTTTAGAGGTGTATATAGGTGTCAATTTCCCAAAAAAGATATATAGCCAGCTGTAATCTGAAGCAAATCCAATATCACAAAACATTAAAATAATGAATAAAAAGGTAGAGGCAAAGTAGGACACTAAAGGAAGATGCAAAAGGATAAAGAAGAGCATAGTGTATGGGGAAGACAGAATACACTAACAAGATCCCTGTTTATCAAACCCGACCCCAACCCGTCATGAATCAGATGCAATCCACAGGGACCTTAATTATCATGCGCCCCCTCCTAATCAAATTAAACATATTAGTCAGAGCAGCCTTCCCTTCTCAGTAATGTCCCATTTCTATCTTAAGTTGGTTAAAACATACCTTTAGTTACTCAGCTAGCTGGTTGACCAAATTAAAATAATGAACAGTACATTAAATTTCTAAAATTGTAATGGAAGGAAGTAGATGTGGTAAAATGGGTGACAAACAAGCAGACTAGATTAGAGAGCTGGAAGTCCAGATTCTCCAGAGCTACTTTAAGAGCTAAGGGAGAGATCAGAGATCACATGGTAAAATATGCAGAAAAACATGACAACCAAGAGGTGGCTAAGATAAGCAGCAATAAAGTACAACAATACCCAGGCATATTATCAAAACATCTATTAAGAAGTGCACAACCCTAGCCCTTGAAAAGAACAAACTTTGTCCTCGGGCTTCTTAGTGTTACCATTCATCCTCTCTCTGCCCAACCCACAATATCTCTTTACCTTGTTCGCATCTCCTAAGCAGGTTTTAACATGATCATAACCTTTACTCGTGATTCATGAAAAGTATGATATTCATTCAATAGCTTATACCAATAAATGCAATAAGATTCTCAGTACATTAACCTAAATTAAGAATAACAACTAACAAGGAATCACAAAACTAGTCAAAATACACCTTGCACCCCATCTGTTTTTAACACATAGTCACTATTTACTGTGTACGATAACTTTTCTTTGATCAAGATTTCCTTAACTGTTATACATATTTTTAATATTTAGAAGTCCAGCTTAACTTAGTTTCTGAATAAAGATTTGATTTTTCATAAAACAAACGAAGCCAAGTCCAAATTTAAAGCAAATGGAACCAAAAAAAATACTTTCTACTACAAAGTAGCAAGACTAACCTGTTCAATGTTGTACCCAGGGCTAGGATCATTGGACAGAGTAAGAACCCTAGCAAACCTATCCAAGCAATTCCCCACAGCAATATCAATCGTCTCCCCGAAAATCCTATACCTTCCTTCACTATACGCAATAACCTGAGTATTTCCCCCACTCACATACAACACAACCGGATCATCCGCCCCGGTTACAATCCGACCCATTTCAATATGGGCCACACAATGGTTTACCCCAACGATAGGTTTCTTCCACAGCTGAGATAACACGCGCACTACCACCGCCGCAACCTGCAGAGGCGCACCCATGCCGGGGCCTTTCGTATAGCAGAGACAGTCTATTTCGTCCGGAGTTACTCCGGCGGTTTCTAGGGCTGATTTTACTAAGGGTAACACGTGTTGGTGGTGGTGCTGCGCGGTTTCACGCGGAAGAAAACCGTGGCCCGGCGGCGTAATGTAAGTGTGCCGTGGATTTGAGAGGATTGTGCCGTCGAGTGCTACTACTCCTACGCCGATTTTATTGGCGGAACCCTCGAACCCTAAGGCTATGAATTTCTTCTCTTTCATATCTAAATGGAAAACAACGCCGCCGCCGGAGGATTGGGGTTTAGTAGTGAAACGAGCAGTGACGACAAGGGCTTAGAGCGAGGGAGTGGTTGTTCGTTGTTGTATTTGAAATATATATGAATTTTACAAATCAGTACCACGGTTTTCAGAGTCTTATATTTGGCCCCCTCAGTTTTGGATTTTTAACGCTTCCTACGAGTACTTTTATGTTATACTGCAGACAAGCTATTAGTAAACAAATGCTAAACAAACTAATTGATGTGTTACACCGGGAAACTTTCATAAATACTTATAATTTCATAAAATATTCCATAATTTACAATCATTAATGATGTCCGAGGTCCTCACTCGGACAAACCGGCTCATCCACCCCCGGTCCTTGTCCTCATCGATGCTTGAAAAGAACGTCTTTGCGGACCAAGGATGAAGCTTGATCAAACCTCGAAAGAGAAGGGGGCTATATAACCTAATCAAATGATTAAGGGTGAAGGTCATACCCCCGACCTTGTTGGAAAAATATCGGAGCATGTAAACGATCCTCCAGAAGAAGGATAGATTTGGTCGAGCGTCACCTGGTACTCACGACAAAAGTCAAGGATCACCGGATCTATCAACGGGGAAGAAGGATCCGAAGAATCTACGGGACCCAGAGTAAAGGGGTATCTATATATGCTGAGGAAGCCAGCTTTATAGTCTACTATGCTTTCCTCAGGATTGGGGATCTCAACTAACAATGCCTCCCCCCATCGGCAGTCTTCCTTCACTCTATGTGTATCGATCACCACGCTGATGTACCGAGACACGTGCTCACATCGGCCCGGTGTAGAAGGGGGATTTTCGATGGAAAAAACGGAGACCGTATCGAATTGTCCGGGAGTACATTGCTCGACAGTTGGGGATACTTTTGGTTTACCCCTGGATGGACGAGACGAAGAAACAGTGCCCTCTTTCTGAGGTACCGTTCTAGAGGTTCTAGCCATGACTATAAAAAAGGTTTCTGAGAAAGAAAGTGAGGAGGCAAGCGCAGAAGGGAGGAGAATGTAGAAGATGATGAACTTAGTTCTAGAAAATTGAGAATGTTGTAAAAGTGTGAATGACAAAACGATTGAGGTATTTATAGAAGCCATATGGGCAGCGTTTGAGGAGCGGAAAGGTCGAACCAATAGCGGTTCGTGGGTTTTCTCGATAGTCGTGTTGACAGCGACCCATGCGCAGTCTTTGAGTCATGGCATTTAATGCTCTAACGGGCTGACGTCATGATGGTAGTATCGAAGAGGTAAGGGTTTAATACCTTTCTTATCATTTTCATTCTAAGAAACGCGGGGACTATCTGTATGCGGTGAAAATCAGAGGGTCCAATTTTACGATCATTATGACGCTTCATAAGCATGTATCCAGGAGGCTCGAGGCTCAGCTCGAGGTTCGACCCCGAGGGTTCTCAGTGATCGACCTCGGGGCAGTGCAAATCGATGACTATGATGAACAAACGGGAAGTTCCAAGGCACGTGGTTAAAGCTGACCAAGTCTACTAGGCTAGTGCAAGCCCGTACCGTAGCATTAAATGGTTGTACCAGCCTCATATCCTTGTAATAAATGCGTATGTACTATATTGGGATTCCCCCTCCTATATAAAGGGGATCCTTATCATTTTGTAAAGGCAAGATACAACATTGAATACAAGAACAAGAACATTCTATGCTCTCTAACTTAAACATATTCTACTTTGATCTTATTACTTACATTTATTGCTTACATTTATTGTATTTCATTTTGTTCTTCATTTATTACTCATTGTTGATCATAAAAAGCCATCATCAAGGCCCTTAGTTAATTCTCTGTCGACTGTCCGTAGCCTAATGTTTAGCTCAACCCTGAGGCCCCGTATAACCTAGCTCGAGGCCCCGATTCTCAGTCACTCGGTTTGCTTGTCACACTACCTTCAAGCTCTTATCTTATTTTCTAGTTTCACACTTAGCATCTACTGCCTAACAACTAGCATAAAAATAAATCACGTATTTTTAGAACCACAAAATCAAATCTAATTATAATTACCGTTTTCAATGTAAACAATTAATTGAATAAAATATTATACAACCTAAACTGGTAAAAGTATAAAACGATTTCCTATAAATAAGAAAATCAATTATGGAACATATCCCTTAATCAAGGTGTCCCTAAATATTCTCTATTATATTAAAGATTTATAATCATTGGAAACCCAGATAATCACCATTCTGTCAACATTTTTTTGATAGATCATTTCGATAAGGTTTTCTCTTTTTTTTTTTTTGGCTTCCTTTTCATATTTTTTTAGGTAATTAAAGTTTTCATTAATCACCAATAGCAATCTTTACATAGCATAGCAAGCTACTCCCAGCTTCGCTAAATCATAGAAGGTACACATCAACCTTGGTTTACACAGAATCCTATACTATTCTACTATATCTAGAAAATCAAATGTTGTACTAGTGACTTTACATTTCCATTGGCTCTAAGACTACACATGCAAGCTATTTCTTTTGCCAGAATGTTAAAGTCCTTGCTTGTTTCTTCAAAGATCCTTTGATTTCTCTCCCTCCATAACACATGAATGTATTCAGTATAGGTCATCTTCATAAGCTTTGCTGCAGCAGATTTCCCTTTGATGTGTTGACATATGAATTGAAAATATTCTTCCCATGTCCGATACCAGGCATTTTACACTTCATCCACAACATTAGTTTGTTCCATAGTTGTTTTGAATATTGGCATTCAGCAAACATATGGTCCCTTGTCTCATTGCTTGACTGACATAAAACACATGTGTGGTTTACGGTCAGTCCCCAGTTACTCAATCTATCAACTGTTAGGAGTCTTCCATGACATTGGAGCCACATAGTAACTATGGCTTTTGGTCTCGCAGCATTTTGGTACATTAGCTTCCTCCAGCTGATCTTAGGCAATGATGGTATCAATTGTAGATAAATTTGCTTTATAATACTCTTCTGTCCTTCCAAAGGCTTTTGCAACAGCTGTATGACTTCTCTTGCTTCCGAAACTTTCCTCACCATCCAACTTGCATTTTTTGGAATTGGCATGTCATCTGGGCAGTGGTCTTTGATGTAGAAAGAATGAATCCACTTAATCCAAAGCTTATCCTGCTTGTGTGATAGATCCCTGTAAGCTTTAGAAATAGCAGCTTTATTCCATATTAGGATGTTACTTAAGTTTAGTCCCCCAACTGCCTTAGGTAGACAGACTTTCTCCCAAGCAACCAAAGCTTTCTTTGTAATCTCATTTCCTCCAGACCACATGTAGCTTCTAAAATAAGCATCAATCACTTTAATCACCTTGGATGGAAGAGCAAAGACTTGAGCCCAATAGGATTGAATTCCAAACAAGACTGTTTGAATCAGTTGCTTCCTGCCAGCATATGACAACTTCTTTGTTGTCCAAGATGTTAACTTAGCCACAATCTTATTGATGAGGGGCTGCCATTGGATTATAGATAGCTTCTTTGTATCTAAAGGTATGCCCAGGTACTTAAAAGGAAGTTGTCCTTTAGAGTAACCCAATAGTTGGCAGATTTCATCAATTTCATTGTCCTTCATGCCTCCACAGTATATTGCACTCTTTGAAAGGTTAGCTTGTAGCCCAGAAGCAGTTGAAAACAACCTAAAACATTCCTGTAATCTCCTCACTAATTCAATATCCCTTTTTGCAAATAATAGGAGATCATCTGCATAACTCAGACGAGTAATGTGAAGCTTCTTGCATTTAGGGTGATGTTTGAATCTTTTATCATCTTTCAGGTTGTTGAACAATCTACTCAAATACTCCATAGCAATTGCAAATAGGAATGGGGAGATTGGGTCCCCTTGTCTCAAACCTCTAGCAGCATTAAAAGGCTCTAAAGTCTCACCATTGAACAAGATTGTGTAATTGACAGTTTTTACACAAGTCATTATCCATTGAATGAATTTTTTTTGGAAAAGTTAACTCCTCTAGAACTTGTTCCAAATAAAACCATTCCACAGAATCATATGTTTTTTGTAAATCAACTTTGATCATGCATCTGGGGGATATGTGTTTCCTACTGTAAGCTTGCACTAATTCATGGGCCATTATGATATTGTCAACTATTTTCCTTCCAGGTATAAATCCTGCTGAGCCTCAGAAATAATGGAACTCATGACTTTTTGAAGTCTCTCAGTTAAGACTTTGGCTATTATCTTGTATAGCATGGTGCAACAAGCAATTGGCCTGTAATCCTTTACTGTGTTTGGATTTGGTATTTTTGGCAGTAAGGTCAATGTAGTACAATTTATAGCTTTGCACAAAATACCTGTATTGAAAAACTCCTTTACTGCATCACAAATCTCCTCTTTAATGATTGGCCAGGCTCTTTTAAAAAATACTGCATTATAACCATCTATCCCCAGGGCTTTGTGATCTCCAATTGAGCTAAGTGCCTCAAATATTTCTTTGTCTGTGACTGTAGCACACAATTCCATTTGCTGGATATGTGTTAACCTGGGACCATTCTTCATCACCACTGTGCTGACTACTGGAAGTTTAGTAGCTGCTGCTCCCATCAGTGATCTATAGAAGTCTATGAATTCTGCTTTGATGTCTTTGGGGTCTTGTAGCTTCATTCCTGTCAAAGAGGTTATTTCAATTATCTGCTTCTGTTGCTGCTTCTCTTTCATCACTGCAGAAAAGTATTTGGTATTAGAGTCTCCTAGCTTTATCCATGTTGCTCTAGACTTCTGTCGTATTGCATTCTCTTCAATCAGAGACCATTTTTCCAATTGTTCCAGCCATAATTTCTCTTGATCAGCCAAACCATCTGTATATTTCATCTGCATAGCCTGTTGGACAGCTGTCAATGTTGCTCTTGCATTTGAAATTTTTCCAGTTATACCAGTAAACTCTTCATTGTTCAACTGTTTGAAAGCATGTTTCATTTTTTTCAATTTTTGCCATATATTCATCATTTTTCCTTTTGTATGATTTCCAGCCCATCCAGCTTTGACTATTTCCAAGAAAGAGCTGTGATCTGCCCAAATATTGAAAAATCTAAATGGAACCTTAATATTTTTTTGGGGGTACCTGAAA